GTCAGTGGACACACATCCTGTCAGTGGACACACACCCCTGTCAGTGGGCACACACCCCGTTAGTGGGCACACATCCTGTCAGTGGACACACATCCCGTTAGTGGGCACACACCCCGTTAGTGAGCACACACCCCGTTAGTGGGCACACATCCTGTCAGTGGACACACACCCCTGTCAGTGGGCACACACACCATCAGTGGGCACACATCCCTGTCAGTGGGCACACACCCCTGTCAGTGGGCACACACCCCGTTAGTGGGCACACATCCCGTTAGTGGACACACACCCCGTTAGTGGGCACACATCCCGTTAGTGGGCACACACCCCTTGGCAACCAAATATTGCTCTTTGCCTCTGAACAGATTTGATTTCCAAGCACTACTCTGTCACCTCATGTGCTGTTTTCTAGAACATATTGGTCAGTGACTTACTTCCAAATGTTGACCTGTCTTATTCTCCAATATCAAAATATCACTTATGTATTAGGTGTAGTGGTGCATGCCTTGAATGTAGCACTCAGGTAGCAGAGGTAGCCTAGTTTTCATAGCAAGTTCCAGGCCAGCCAAGGCTACATAGTGAGACCCTGTTTCAAAGGAAAAAAATCATGTTAGTATCCCTGCCAGTCAAATCAGAAGTTTTTGAAGATTTGCTGTTCACCAGGTGCAGTTTTTTTAATCTAAATTTTTGCTTGAATGCTGAACCTTGTCGTTCCACACAAATGTCTGATTTGTATCCTTGACCTGTTGTGTTCGGTGCGCATGTTTCTGAGAGCATATCTACCAGACACTCGATCATAGAGACGATTTCCAGGGCCACTGTTGCCTTTGGTGTGTAGCGGAGTGCCAGTGCCTCTTCCCATTCTAGCACACACAGTGCTGACAGTTGGATTCTCAGGGTTAGGACTTAGCAGAATTAATCACTGCCCTCCTGTAGCTAGAGTTTTCCTGCCTTGCCCACAGTCAGGACAAATCTCTGTCACCCGCCAGTCCCACAGCCGCACAGATCCAACCAAGTAAACACAGAGACTTACATTGCTTACAAACTGTATGGCCGTGGCAGGCTTCTTGCTAACTATTCTTATAGCTTAAATTAATCCATTTCTATAAATCTATACCTTGCCACGTGGCTCTTCACATGCTGCTTGTCATGGTGGTGGCTGGCAGTGACTCTCTGATTCAGCCTTCCACTTCCCAGAATTCTCCTCTCTCCTTGTCCTGCCTATACTTTCTGCCACGATATCCACAGCACCCTCTTCATCAGGATGGTCTGCATGCAGCCACCGCTCCCTCTCACGGTCCCAGCTCTAGCTAGTGCAGGTGAGACCACTGCCTTGATTTCTGCTCAGACACCCAAGACTGTATCGTGCACTGCAGGGCAGAGTATCCCACACAGACTCATTCTCAGACCCAAAGGTGCCCTCAGACATCTAAAGACTCACTTTGAAGCGACTGTTTGAGACGGTCTCAGTGTCCATACTTTTAGTCAGACTAACTGAACTGTTTAGTTTGGAACTATATATTCACCCACGTGTGTTTTAAAGCTCCCTGTGAAACATAAAGCTAACATGGAAGAGCAATCATGTGACCCTCCTTCTGTGGCAGGACCTAGAAAGAAGGAGCGAAGAACTTGAAGAGCTTTCTTTGCTAGAGTGCTGTTTTCCTGAAGCAGAAAGATTGAAACGGGAAACCAGGGCGCTGGCTCAGGTGAGGCTGTCTCCTCTCTTGAGCTCATACTTCTGGGACCATGAGGAAACTGCAGTCTGGTACTAAGTTTTATCTTGGGAAACTTTATTAAGAAGGAAATCCAGATGGTGAAATGGCTTAGTAATTAAATGCACGTACCGTTCTGGAGAGAGTCTGAGTTCCGTTCCTGGCGTCCATTACCTGTAGACTCACAACCATGTGTCTCCAGCTCCAGGGAATCTGATGCCCTCTTCTGGGCTCTGCAGGCACTGCACACACAGAAATACATAAATACAAAATAAATCTGAAAACCTCTCATTTGACAAATACATTGTTCAGGGAAAAGAAATTGATGCAGTTGTAGAAAGCTATTTGTCAATGAAGGGACAGTTGGAATGATTATACTCCCTCGCTGTTCACTTCCTGGGAATCCAGGTGAGCTCAGTTGATTATGCTTCAATGTAGCCTACTTCCTGGTTGGTTGTTTGTTTTTAATTGGAAGATGTGTGGAAACTGTGATCAGGGTTTCGGAAAGATGTGTTCATGTCGCTTCTGAATACACTGTGGCAATTCTCAAGCTATCTCCAGCTGTTCATTGTTACATCTTGGTGTCCATCCCTCAGCAGTGATACTGGATGCTACTACTGCCACTGTTTAGGAGGGCCATCACCTGAGTCTCTGGCAGGTGAGAAACTTGAGGGATGTGAATTTGTGCTGTCTTCCTACAGCCTAGCAGTTCTCAGATCCTTCCTCTCAGCTCCCTGTTCCCTGAGACACAAGAGCACTGGAATCACCCTGATGATCACCCCATAATATCCTCCAAGCAGCTCAGCCCAGCCCAGCACAGTCACAGGTGGAATGATTGAGCCTGGAGAGGAGGCCAAGTCCAAAGCCAGATAGGGTGAACGCTGGGCCCTTCACCACAGAGACTGCAGAAGAGGCATTCTGGAGGGAATAAAAGTGCTGCTCCAGTGATGTCAGACATGATAAGGATGAACAAGCCCTTATCGCTAACGTGGAGAAAAGACCAGGCTAGCCCACCACCCCTAAACCAAGGCCTACCCCAGCCCAGCCCACCACCCCTGAACCAAGGCCTACCCCAGAGCAAGGCCAGGCTTTTCAATTCTGTAAAGGCCGGAGGGGAAGAATCCACAGGAGAAAAGTTTGAAGCTGGCAGAGGCTGGCTCATGAAACTCTTGTCTTCACAAAATACCTGTGCATTAAGAATAAAAGTTGTGGGAAGCTGAGGCCCAAGTCCATGCAATGAGCAAACCAGTATGGAGGGTAACCCAGGAGCAGCTCTGGTTGGTTCCTGAGGCCAGCAGCCAATTAGCTGCTGAAAGCTGGGACCCACTGGCTGGTGGATTTCAAGTTGTTCCCTGTGCCTCGTGCCCAGGGCCTGGTAAACGATGTCTGGTGACATCACTGGCTTCTGTTCTCTCCGCTTGCCGGTTCTGAGACTGAGATTTGGTGAATCGTGGTTTGAAGTGTTCTTGGCATAGATAAGCTGTGTATGACCTTGCTAACCCCAAGAGCTGTCTCCTCCCATGGTTCTGCTTGGGGATAGTTTTCCCAGACCGGAAACAGAGTTCCAGAGACTCCCTGAGGCCTCAGGTATCCAGGCATAGGCGGCTCCCAAGTCCAGGTTATTTCCTGTTTACCTGCTGCACCTGGGGATTGTGGGTAAATCTCTTCTGGATTAGGAGTCTCTGAGTTTCACTTTAGCTGAATTTGAACAAATGTTTTGGTCCAGAAGTGCAGCACGGAGGTCTCTCATGTCTGAGTGCGTCAGGCAGAAGTGGAACTGGCTTTAGTGGGAACAAGGATGTTCCTGTAAAGACGTCTCCGGTGTCTGAGGAAGACTGGAGGAAAGGGGGCTCAGGGACGGTTCCTAAACCACAGGCCATCGTGGGTCCATCTGCAGCCTCCAAGTCGGTCTCGGAGCCTCTTCTAGGGCTTGGAGCCTCTTCTAGGGCATGTGGTGGTATTGTGTACCTTAATAAATTTATCTGGGGTCAGAGAACAGACAGCCACTAGATACA